TAATTTAAATATAAAATAAATTAATAAACTATTAATAAATTAGGTATATGGAATGGAATAAAATTAAATATTTTAATGTGAAATAGAAATTTTAATACAATTACTCCATATCTTCACAAATTTGTTTGGCATCAAAAAAACAAAAACAAATTGTGGCATACATTTTTAGAAGCAATCAAATCTTATAAAAATAATTCTTAAAATATATAAATATTTAATAAATTATCTAATTTTTTCTAAAAATCACTTAAAAATGTTATCAAATTTGAAAAAACAAAATTATACTTTAAGAACACGTTGTTTTGAGTGTAGAAGAATGCAAATTAAATATTCATCTTCGATCAAAAATCTAAAAATTTGTAAAAGATGTTATAAAAAAAATCTTGATTGTATTTTTGTTAAGTCTGCTAAATATATTAAAGAGATAAAAAACTTAAAATCTGTTGTTAAAGAACAAGAAATGCGAATTTCATTATTAAAAAAAGAGTTTCTCTTTTAGAACGAAATGAAAAATTAGTTAAACAAAATATTGCACAACTCTATATGATTTATGAAAACAATTAATATTTATTAGTATTTTTTTTTATTTTACAATAATATTTTTTTAATTTGTTTTATCAAAGTTTTAAAAATCATTAATTTATTAATAAAACAGTATTTTAACTTTTGTTTTTCTTATTTTTAATATAAATATTGATATTTTTATTGGTTAATAATAAATAAATTATTTTGTTTTGAGAGAACTTAAACAAATTAAAGATAATTTGAAACAAGTTGATTCTATTATCAATTTTGATAAAAAAATCATACAATCACTTTTAATATTATTAATTAAAAAGTTTAAATACCAATAAAAACTTAGCGATAAGATAAATTTCTTTATTTAGTTAGATTAACTTTAATATTAAAAATATAAATAATGAGTTGTTTATTAAATCACATGAATAACTTCGAAGATTCTAAAGACTAATTAATACAAATTAAATTTAAATATAAAAAATATTTAACAAGCAAGTTTTTTTCTACAAAACGAAACTGTAATTTAAATTTGAATTTTAAAATTTTACTACTACTACAATTTATTTTAACATGTCTTTCTTCAAATCTCTTATTAAAAATCCAAAAAACAAACTCTTAATATCATTCACAAACAAAAACAAAATTATTCTGGAGATTGAAATGATATTGAACAAGAAGCTGGACCCAGTTGGAAAGAAAATATTATTGATTATTCTACTTGGTCGACTAGCAATGAGAAAAAAATTCTTTGTGAAGAACCTTTCTCATTGTCAGACAAACAAGAAAAACTATCTTCAAGTTCTTTTAAAATACTAGTAAAAGAAGAAATAACTAGTGTTAATTACAAAGATACCTTTTTATTTTTTTTATTCACAATTATATTTTATTTCTTACCTGTATATTTAGCTTTTTCTTTTTTATTTACTTTCTTCTTTTTGTTTCAGAATATTTTTATTAGACTTAAGTTATCTAAGCACAGAGAAGTGATTTATGAAATTAATCTGTTCGAATTACAATTTTTTCAGTCTTCTATCAATACACATTTTTAAAATAGAGGTAGTTTAGACGATTTAATTAATAATTTGGTAAGTGGTAAAGTAAGGATTAATGATTTACCATTATTAAATGTGTGTTTGATAGGAAACTTGTTTTATTCTTCTGATAATTGAAGATTATATTGTATTCATGAAGCTATTAAGAGATATTTAAATATCAGAAGAATAAAAGTTATATTAAAGAGAACTTGCGATACTAATATCAAATAGAAATTAGAAAATTCAAAAGCTGTTGTTAATAATTCTAATTTTTATGAAATAGTAGCTTCTCCTTTATCAAAAGCAGAAACTATTGTTTATAAGAATCATTCTCTATATTTCGGAGATTATTAGCTTTTTTATATTTGTATTTATCTTGTAAATATTTTCTATTAATAACATGCACTATTGTAAAATTCATATTGATAATATAATAAATTTAATGTTCAATTTCCGAATATGTTGAGC